GTCAGCGTGTCTGGATGGTCGGCGCCCAGCTTCGTCTTGCTCGTCTCCATCACTTGCACAAACAGCTGCTCGGCCGCCTCCCACCGGCCTTGATTTCGGTAAGTCGAGGCTAGGTTCGCCATGCTGGTCAGCGTCGAGGGATCCTCTACCCCAAGTATATTCTTTCGCCCTACGAAAGCCTTCTCAAGATACTTCTCAGCACTAAAGAAATCACCCTTCCAATTCAATGCCTCTCCAAGGTTATTGTAACCAGATAGTGTAAGCTCTTGTAGAGGCTCTAAGTTTTTCTCCCTCCACTCCACGACCGCGGAATGCATTTTCACCGCTTCGTCGTACTTCCCATCAACAATAAAGCATAACCCCATCTTTTCGAGGAGCTGGTATCGCTCAGAGGAGTCTTCCACCTTCTCGTCTCCACAAAGTCGTTGAGCGTGCGGCAGATAGAGGGTCCAGACACCTCGGTGCTTATGGTCACGTGTCGGGAAAAGCTCGGTGACTCGTGAAAGGGAGGCTTTCATCCAATCACCTAGCGTGCCTTGGGTTCTGAGCCAATTGCGAACGGCCAAGTGTACCAGCTGATGCATCTCGTACAACTCCTCGTGAATCTGTCTATCTTTCTCTCCAGTCTGTCTTGTCACGAATGAGTATCCTTTCAGTGTGGCAAAAGCATCAATCGCATCTTTTTTCAAGCTGATTGCTGGTAGGAGGGATCGTGGAATGTTCTTTTCGTGAAGGCAAGCCATCGAGCTCAGAAGATCTGCGGCGAAGGGGTGGTGCTGGCGGATTTGGTTAAACGAGACAAGCCATGTCATCGCGACCGCATTCTGAGCAGTAGAGTATCGTGATCGGTCGCCAAAATCCTCGCTCAGAAGTTTGATTACTTCTTCCTCAGGTTCGAAGAGTAGCTCTAGATAGGTCTCCAAGGGATCTTGCGTCATATTTATGTAAGAAGCTGCTTGGATAATGGCTAGGGGGAGATAAGTCAGCTTCTCGAGCAATACGGAGGTGAGATTCTCGTCCGCGGCCATCTCTGGTTTCTCCAATGTGTTCGTGAGTATTGTCCTCGCTTCATCAGGTGACATTGTCGACAATTCGATCATCTCTTTTCCAGCGAGATAGATGGCCACACTGCGTGATCGGGTGGTGATAAGAATAGAGCCGTGGGTCGAGCGAGGTAGACAATCCACGAGTGTGGATTTCCGATCGGTGGGATTCGATCTCTTCGTCCACACCGCCTCGTCGTCCGCGTTGTCGAGGACCAAAAGCCAGCTGTCCCTGGTCACATTGCTGAGCCATTGTTTGACCAACATTTTAACGTCGGCTTTATCGTCTTCAATTTCCGGAATTCCAAGCTTCTTGCCGATCTCGAGTATATCCCTTTCAAAGGTCAACTGATCCGTGGCCTCGATCCAGAAGATCGACCAATGGAGGTGTTCCGACCTGAGTTGGAGGACCAGCTCTAGTGCCAGACGACTTTTTCCCATTCCTCCTAGCCCAAGGATGGACACCATTCCATGGCTACTGGGGTCACATATCTGCCGTTTCAGACGGTTCAATTCGTTTGCGCGGCCCACAAATTCCAGCGGACGGTCAAAGGGAACATGCCACACCGGGCTGGGCCGTTGGCCATGCAGTAGCTGTTCTGCATTAGCCCTGCTCCCTAAGCGTCTATCGATTTCATCCTGGAGCCGAAGAAAGGCATGCTGCTCGCCTTCACCATAAATGGGAGATAGAAATACGCCAAAGATGCCCAGTAGGCAGTATGCTTTGTCCTCCGGCCTCGTAGTATTTCGCTTCGTGGTCCATCGCATCCGCTCGGGCACACTGAAATTAGCCACAGCGACACCGCGAAGAGCCATAATTGGAATGCCCGTGATCTCGTGAATCGGTCGCTCTAGAGTACACCGATTGCCCAGCCATGTCCCCTCTCGTGAAAAGAAATCGACCGATTTCGGTGCCAGCAGTTCTTGGAGCGTCCAGCCACGGGTGAACCATCGGCTGTTCCGAAAATCCGACTCCCATGTGGCTTCACTTGAGCGATGACGGCCACCAACGCCCACGGACACGTCGGACAGATACACATAACACTTTTCGGCATCACGGTACCAGCGAAACATTGAAACAATAGCTTCGTCGAGCTCAGGGCGATTTGATTTGTCAATGCAGCATGTGTCCACCCAGAAATGTTGGATATTGTTATCCTTCTGAGCCTGTGTCCAGCAGAAGTGAATCTTGACATACCCATCCTTGTTCTTCCCGGATCCATCGTTTAAGTCGGCAAAAGTCACTTCGTCCTCGTCATTTGTCGACCATGTGTGCGAAAGGATCGCATATCTCGGAATGTTTTTGCTTAAGTTCTTCGTCAGCCTTAGCGTGCCATCGCTACCGGCTTTCAATAGGCGCATCGTCGGAACTCTGATCTGAGGAAACGGCAAAGAGTAGAGTTTGAGGGAGGGGAGACGCCAAGGCCTATCAGCTAAACTTCATGGTAAGAGAAGTGGTTAAAGGAGGCTGTTGGGGCTGGGGCCCATCGAAGGATGTGGGATCGCCGTTGCTCCTGCGACGGATTGCAGAGGGAGAGAAGTTAACGTTGCTGTAACCAAAAGCACAGGCGCCTTGTTTGACAGCGAGGGCAAGCACCAATAATCGAGCCACAGTCGCAATTGCGTTGAGGGACACGGAGGATGCATAGTGAAGACTATTCGGTCAGGCTGAAGTACAGCCCAGCAGGCAGGCGCAGTTGCGGCGAGGCTGATATCGCTTTCCCAGTAAGTTAACTTACTGCGGTGCAATTGGTGTTCACGGCAATCGAGCCAAGGCCGATCTGACTAAGCCAATCTGTATTATTGGAGTCAGATGGCACGTGTCGGTGGAAGGTTCCAGAATGGCGCTGGTATCCCCGCGTAGCCAAGGACCGGAAACGTGCGCTCAAGGCGGCAAGATAACACCAGCCACGTGGCGGTGCCTTTGAGCCACGCCTATAGCTGCTGCTTTATGGGTTGTTTACGCGCCGCCGTCCTCGGGTCGGTCCTCGGCTGTATGTCGATCGGCGTTGAAGTACCTGGCCGGGGTGCGCTGCAGCAGGACATGGCAGCACATATCGTGGACAGTGGTGGCTACGAACATGATAATTTACAATACGATTCAACGACGTGAATGTTCTATTCTTATTATGCTGAAAAGCTTCCTGAGCCGGTATTGTGCTCTTCAGAGGCTGCAGACAGTTTCCTTGCTTTTTCATGCAGCTGACGAAGCAGGGCATCAATAGAGTCACTGTGGCGTATTTTTAAAGCAGAGACGGTATGTACGATAGCTTCGAGCCTTCTCAACATAGGGCTGTACTTGGATCAATGATTTACTCTACTTGTGGCGGTCACCAGGCGGAGGAAGTTAAAGTACCGCCTGCCCATTTCATCACGCAGGGTGTTTCACCACGTCGGGATGTCGATTACTATTTACGTATATGGAAGTCCGCGACAATAGGGATTCTCAAATGCGGTGTAAGTAACTAAATAAATTTTGTCTCTTTAAATTGGCGCTACGGCATTGTAAGCTTTCCTTAGCGCATACAATACGATCCACGAAAGGTAATGAGGTTTTGCAAGATCTAGAAATGAATGCGATGACAACGCTTCGTATGTGCTATTCATCGTTAAAGATAGAAAGCTTATAGCCTCCGACGACTAAAGAGATGGGTTCATTATAGAGAATTTCCCCCTTTCGACATGTTTTTTATTTATAATACTCATCACGGCTGAACCTAGCGCAGTAAGATCCTGTTTTACCGGAGCTCGTGCGCCGTTTTGATACAGTTTAAGATTTACTGAATATAAAGTGGTTAGTAGTTACGAATGTTCGGCACTATGTAGACGTACTAATTTTCACAACTCCTTCTAGCGATACTAGGATATTAGAGTATATAATCTTAGAGTGCCGAAGACCGTGAGTAGCGAGATATACGATGCCTTCGAGGGACTGGATAAATTCTCAGCTATAGATAAGGTCAGACCTTATAGACTTACCTAAGCGAATATTAAGGCGAGCTATACCTCGTTAAGTGATTTATCGCACGTAATAAAGTAGTTTAGAGAGATGGCCTCGTAATTAGATACGGTGTAGTATACACCTTCATAACTAAATACCTTATAAGTCTAGACTAAGTTTTTATGTTTCAGCTCGTAAAGGCGTTTTATCTATTTCTCGGTGATAGAGGCGCTACTAAGGGTGAACTACTCTCCTATATCTGATCTAAGAACAACGGCGACGGAACTACCTAGCTTAATACGGTAAGCTCCTTCGTAGAATAACTAAGGGGAATCTTCTCTCTAATTAACTCCTTAAGTCTTATATTTCGACGGAAGATAAAGGTCGCGTAGACCCGACTTCGTCGTACTCTTCATAAGAACGCGAGAGTATCTAGTAGAGCTCTCTACCTAACTCTCTAGGAGATTAGAGTTATTAGGTCTTTAGATGTTCGCTAGATAATCGCCGCCGCTCCCTAGGAAGACTATATTACGGTTAGAGGCTTTCTATATAGGACTTATAACTAGATAAGGATAGGAGATGATAGAACGTATTTTAGTAGAGAGAAAGAAATAAATAGGCTTACGGAGAAATATAATATCACTGGTTATCACTAGGAAGCCGAACGTATAACTCATCCTTATAGTTCCCTAGAATGGGCCCTTTCGAGCCTAAAATATAGACCTAAGAGCGCTGGTTAGGTCTTTATCTCACTCGAAAATGGATATAACCTTAGTTTAGACTAGTATAAAGAAATACTTTTTTTCTACTTAACGAGCTAGGGATCAGGTAAATATATAGATTACGAGCCGCCATCATGGTCAGTTAAAGCGAAGTAAATGACTATTAGCGAGATATTATTAGAGATAAAGCGTCTAACTTTCGAGGAAAAGCTCGCGTCATACTTAACGTTCTTCGATTTACGCCTGAGAATATAAGAGATCTCGATAGGGTAAATGTCGAGAGACTAAAGGCTATCTACGAGGAGGAAGGGTACCTCCGAGAAGGACTAGAGCGTCACGTACCTACGATCATCTCATTAGCTGACCTAATACGCGCCATCGAGTTTATAGGAACCTTAGAGGTATCTCTCGATAGACTCCTAGATAATCCGAAAGAGCTACCGCCGCTGCTTAAATTTCCTCCTAATATATATATTAAATGCCTGATAGGGAAACATCGCATCTAAGCTACTAGAGAGTCGGCAAAATTAAGAGCTATAGATAAGTAGTAGATAGTGGATCTCTATCTAGAAGGTAATGTCTAGCGCCTACCTATCTTTAAAATCTCTACTAAGGCCCGTAGGATTAAGCGACAAATTAAAGAGGGCTTTATTAGAAGAGTATTTAAATTCTCTAAATTTCTCGGACGGTATTATATTTCTAAAGATTATATACTACGAGTCTACCGGTAATAAGTTTACCGAGTTCTAATACTGGGCTCGTCTTATAAAGAGTAAGAGGGATATTCTAAGACGTTTTTTAGCTCGTAGGGATATTAGTGCCGCTTTTAAGCGCCTCCTACCCTTTTATAGACTCTAGACTAGCAGTAAATATAGCTTTAACATTAGGACGCTTTATAAGATGATCGGAATGAATATAGAACTAGTTAGTTACCCTATAAATAATTAAATCTCGTTCTAACGATTTATTAGGAAATCATCTACTATACCGAGCTCATCTTCGACACGTAGAAGAAAATCTTCCGTAAGAATAGAGAGCTATACTACCTTACGGATCTAGACACCGTTACGGAGCTTTAGTTAAGGGCTCCGGAGGCGTCACCGTATGACTTAAATAAGGTTACGCAGCTAATGTCCGAGGGTTAAATATTCCGAGAGATTAGGGACACGAGACATCGCGGCGATATTCTAAGATAGTTAAGTTTAATCCCCTACCTAATTCCGACGTTCTATACCCTACGATAAGATCTTATATACATTAAACTATACGCCGCTATTCTACGGAGACTATTCGTGAACTCTAAAAGGAGGTCTAAGTATTTAATCCGAGAAGCGGTAGAATATACCTTCTCTAGCGTAAACTAGACTAACGGGTAGGTCGTCCTCTAAACTTCCGAGTCCTCTTTCCAGTCGGTTCCTAAAAGCCTTACCCATTAAATAACTATCGGGTACCGGTAAATCGTCGCCTATACGATGCGCTTCGTACTAGAGATGGTTCCTTAGGCAGCGAAGAAAGAAGCTAGAGAGGTAACGCTATAGCTACGGAAACCTAATCCTACTTTATAGCGAGGTATCGGAACACTAGCTTACCGACTAGGTTTTAAATCGGAAGAGATCCACCGGTTAAGGACTAAGGATGTAGATCGAGTAATCGCCCGCGATATACTACTTATGGCTCGCGACCCGAAAAGATATAAATACCCGGATGGGCTCCTAGAGAACTTTAAAGATTAGATTACTGAAATGATGAAGACGGTAACGGAAATGTCGGAGGATAACCCAGTTTTCATCTCATCCGTAGACGGATTAGGCGAGAAAATCTCGCATCGCCGAGGGTAGATTATTAGCTCCGCCTACGAGAGCAGCTAACCATTTTTATTCTTTAAACATCTTAATAATATTAACGATGATCTCGGTAAGGGAGTAACATCTTTCCTTATTCGAAAATTAGTCTACATTACCTTTTTCGGGATCGTGAAATTACCCTCTAAAGAACTACCGTCCGCTGAGTAGGACAGCCAACCCTTAAATCAGGATCCTAGTGAGAATGGTAGCGAGCCCTACGATTAAGACGTTAATATATAGGATTAAAGTGGCGTCGATATAACTTATTAAGAGTCGCGTAAATAGGACGTTAATATGGAAGGGTAGGATACTAACGTAGACGTACCGCTAGGGATAGATACCTAAAGTTTAACTACTAGCCTCAAGAGAGGAAGGTGAAGTAACTTACGTCTACCTTCCTAATTCCGGTTCGTTTTCGAAAGCCCGTAAATGTATCCCATCGATATAGGCTAGGTAAAGAAGATAATTCTTAGCTAGAATCCGAACGCGAGCGCATAAAGTAAGTCGGTAGTGAGAAAGAAGCGGTAAAATTCACCGGCTACTCCCGGTTACGGAGGCTCGCCAAGACCTATATAGTAAACCTCTAGCCCGAGTGTATTTAGATCTCTACTACCGGTATATAGGTCACGATTAATGTTAGAATCTCCCTCACCCCAATAGGTATATAGAAAATAAAGCTTTATATCTTAGGGAAACTAACCTAATGTAGGAATCTTAACCTATCTATAAATAAACTGTATTAATCTCGATCTGGGAAAATAGTAAATGGAATCTTATAGAGAGCGACTATAAACGGGACGAAGTTAGTGAGAAGGTGACGCGCTATCTATAGAGGAACGATGGCCTACATCCCTA